TGGGCTGAAAGCAGGCTGTGGGCTGAGAGGGGGCTGCCCACCGCTGCTCACCTCCAGCACCACTTGGAGATGCAGCCCCTTCCCCTGGCCGTGCCACTCTCCATCTTCCTCCCTCTGCACAGCGCCCAACAGGGAACACTCACCCCTAGGCTGTGGCCGAAGCCAGTGCTCGGGGCTGGACTGGCAGCGCTGATGTAACTGCTGACCCCTGAGTCCTGGTTGGCGGCTCCGTAAAGCTCCGCCATCGGCCCGGGGCTGGTGGTGCCCAGAAATCCACCGGTGCGACTGGGGGTGGAACCTACGGGAGGCAGCAACACTACGGAGTGAAGATCCCAAAAATGCAACCCCGTCCCACCCCCCTCCCGCAGCCCATCGCAAAGCCCTGTGACAGGACACCGCGCTGGGGAGGAAAGTGGCAGTTACCTGTCCCTCGCACCACGGCTGGTGGAACCCCTGGCGTCTGCCGCCATTGGTCCATACGCAGTGAGGGGGATTGCTGGAAAAGAAGAACAGGAATCTCAGGGGCACTGTGGCTACACGGGAAACTCCTTAACAGGAGCCGTCATTTCCTGCTACAAAATACCAGGCCCACAGACGTATTGGCTTAGTGCATCACACAGGACATCCGAGGATGACAATAGGGGAGTGCACAGCCCTGCCTTTATTGGTATCCTTTTGCACAGCGAATGTCTGGGGGAACTCACTAGCCATGCTGTGCTAAGCCCACACCCTGGAGCAGCTGAGGGCATGACATGGAAGAGCTGAACCACAAGTGGGCAATTTCAGATTATCCTGTCGCTACTTAGCTTGCAAGATGCAGCTAATCTGAAGCTACAGATCCAGATTTTGGCTGTAAATGTGGAGAAACGCAGCAGCGTCCTGAGGCTCAGCCCCTCCTCTCTGTCCCTTGGTACTGTTCTTGAATAACAGTTTAATAGCCTCTTTCTCCCTATTTCTCTACTCTGCTCAAGATGCACCATCCTCCCCACTCTGAGTTTTGCTCCTGAACTGCTCAACCTCTTGCCGTTCACTGTAGAAGAGCAGGAAACATATACCTAGGGAGCAGGAACTAGAAATGGCTTAATTAAAACAGTACATCTTAATTTGTATGTAGCGGTTCTAATTCCCAACTCTACTGCCACAGGCATCCAGCCCTCGGGGCAGGAGGCATCTAGCCAGTATGTTTCTCTTTGCCCTTAAAATGACTGGGTCAGCATTTCATGCTTGAATGTGAAATTCACTGTGATTCTGTTTAGAGCACCATAAAAAGAGGTCAGAACAAATCAATCGCGTTAAGGCTGAAACCCAGACTAGCTTATAAGGGAATATTTAGTAGCAGGCACCAGCCGGTTTAAAGTGAACGTCATATGAGGCTTATATCTGGGTTAGCCGCTCATTACAGGCCCTGGGCCAACGTGAGCATGTTGCTGCTTCGCATCATCCCCAAAGATGCTGTTCCGGGGAGGAAAGGCTGCTGGCAGCCACCCTCCTGTCCCATCATTGCTTCACGTCCCTAACACACAGCTGAACGAATGCGGTTTTACTGAGAAAGGAGGCCAGGTCTTCTCAAAAAGACTCCAGTTCTTTTTCCAGGAAAAACCTTCTTGCCTTTGCAGTCTATCTACTGAGACACCAGGTTTGTGTTGTGATGACAAAGCACCTGCATGTTAGCTCCCCGCATGCTGGAGCAATCATCCCTGCTTGTGCCATCCCCTCATCTCAGTTCCACTTGCCAAGCCCATAAAAGCACAACCCATTTACACGCACGCATCCACTTGAAGGCACAAGGGCCCTCGAGCACTGCACAGCTCGCTGGGCTTTGTAGGAACGAAGGGGGCCCTGCCCTTCATGGGACCAACTCCAGCCTGGCCAAGAGGCTGCACAGTGACTGTTTAACAGTAGGTAAGTGTAACGGGAAGGGAAGAATGCCACAATCCCCAGCTGGTACTTCAGCAAGACACTCAGGACTGTAAGCTAACGTGGCACCCAGCCAGGACAGCAGCATTAATAACTTCTTGTTGTGCAGAGCCCTGGTGCACCCCAGCCGCCGGTGACAGCCAGGCCCCGGGCAATCCACCTCCACTAGGAAGAGGAACAGTGCAGCTGGGGGTGGATCCTGGAGGGAAAAGCACTTTTGCCAAGTCACCAACCTTCCTCTACAAATTGTATGGGTTTTGCTGAAAAAGACACATGTAAATACACACTGGACCCACATCTCTTTTGCTTGGCAACCAAAAGGCTCAGAGGTGGGGGTCAGGTGCTTATGCAGTTGCATACATGGTGTCAGGGAAGGGTTTTATTAAGAGGGAGCTAGGATTTAGTCTCCCCCTACCTCCGTCGGGGCAATTTGTTCATTGGTGGCTGCCAACCTTAGCATCCTCAGGAACGGACACTCCCTGAGGATCAACACGGTTCTGTGCCACAGAAACCCCGTTTCAAGCCTGTTTGTACTGATAATTCCAGGAGAGCTTCTCAGGAAGCTTTTCCACACCCTCATTGCAGAGAGATTCAAACCCTGAAACAGGTGGGGGTAAGGAAGCGCTGGAGAGGAGGAACACCATGGAAAGGAGATGGCACACAGGGAGTAGGGTGCTACACAAAGCTGCTTTTCTATGACAAAAACCATGGACAGGACAGAGCTGGGGAAAACATGGCCATGGAAGAGAAAGTCGACAGAAGGACCATCACCTAGAGAGAACACACTGCATACAACCCAGGGGCTGAGGATCCAGAGGGTATTTGCACTGTGAGGACACTGAGCCAGGACTAGTCCCTGGAGAATGGTCCTCTGCCCCCGTTTCATTCCACAGCTCCCTGCGAGCACTGTGGGACTTTACTGTAGAGTCCCACCATGCTTGCTTCTGCCTGAGAAGCCCATGTGGGAGTAGCTGGGGAGCTGCACCGCCCGGAGCAGGGAGAGCATTCCCTGCAGCCCCTCCTGCACAGGGAAATGGGATTAGAGTAACCAGGAGTGCCCCCACACCCTCTCCCTCCTCCCAGCACTCCAAATCTCACCCTTGCAGCAGCTCAGGTTAAGGTCATTTGTAGACCTTTCAGAAGTCACCCTGCTCCCTGCAGTTTTCCATATCTGGTTTACACCCAGCTTGGGGCAAGGAGCTAAAAACGAGGCAAGTAGCAGGAAAGGCCATCTAAGGATTACATGCCTTCATTTGGTATGACCTGCATTGCCCTTCTCAGAGGCAATACACATGGCTCTAATTGCCTCTCCATCTTTCCAGCCCCAGCTTTGGATGGCGCTCGTACAGATGGAAGAGGAAATAAGGAACGTTTCCAGTCTAACTGCACCAGGCTGTGGAGCAGCGACACCACTGGAACAGCCCAAAGCCCCCTTCTCCCCTTCCAGCTTGTGAGTTTAGGAAATGAGCGGGACTGACCTGTGAGCTCAGGGAGGACGGGGGCACTCGGGAGAGGGGTCCGCTCTACACGGAACTCTAAAAATGAAATGCAAGACAGCTTAGGAACTCATCAAACGCCCCGAGGGAGACCCCGCAGAGAGACAGCAGCCAGGGTCCGCTGGGGGAGCAGCCTGCAGCCAGAGTGCAACCAGGCCAGTGACTTCTTTAAACTAATTTATAACTGGTGCTGAAAGTTGCTGGACTCCTGCCCTGGAGACTGAAAGAATCCATTTATCCTTAGAGTAAATCTGGCCAAGGCAGGGCAAGTACAAGCTTCACTGTGCAGACTCAAGTCTGCCCTGGAGCACGGCTCTGCGACCCATCCGATCTGACCTTTGGGCTGCCATGCCAGTGGGTGCTCAGTACATGCCACACTCATCTGGGCACAGGTTTACGATGAGGCACTTGAAGCCACTACGAGTGAGACGCATAAACTGGATTCAAGGAGAGCTTCGAGACAGCTAGGAGGCAACAGCAACTTTCAGCCACAGTCAGCCTGGGCTCGCCTCAGGCATAGAGGAAATTTCCCATTCCCAGCCCCTAACATCAAGACTTCATATATAAACCGTCACACTGAGGGACAGGGTAAGGAAGGGATGCTCGGAGTTGCCACTTCTCTAGAAAATAGCAAGACAGTCTTTTCCCTGAGTGTGCTCTGCCTTGTTTCCTTGCCTTGCAGAGAACGGGAGGGAGAAGAGGCCCCAGAAAGCTCTGAGCAGCTGCCGCACAGCAGGTTCCAGCCATTGATTGCAGAGTCCATGTTCTGAGCACATGGTGGGGTTGGGAGCTTGAAACCACCCAGTTTGCGGGGGATCTGCAGCCCACCACCCCAGCAGATGTTTTTGGAGGCTGCAAGTGGTCCAGGCGCTGTTCAGAACACAACTGTAGCGTTGCAAGCGCCGGCATTTCGGGTGCCTAGGAGTTCCCTGGCCCATGGAAAGCCACGTTTTACAATTCTGTGCTACTTTCAGAGCGGTGGCAACTCTGGTAAAGAGAGACAGACATACACAAAGGCAGCGAGACAGGCAGAGCTGCAGGGGCCCTTCTGCGTCACAGCAGCAGACCTACGGAGGAGGCTAACATAAAGGGCATCAGAGCAGCCTTAGGCTTTTCCTGCCACTGGAGTGTGAGGATAATCCTAATGAAGGACAGGCTGTTCCCACCTATTCCAGGGCTTCTCCCCTCCCCCCTCCACATCCGTCTCCAATTTAAAGAAAGACCAAACAGGGGAAAGGGTGAAAGGGGCAGAGCCTAGGTCACAGATCATGCCAGGGATCCCGTCACCTGAAGGCAGACCAAAAAACCAAGCAGGGAGCACCACTCACCAGGGAACTGGTAAGTGTAGCCAGGTGCAATGCCAGTGTAACTTCGACTCGCGTAGGTGGCAGCTTGGAAGCCTGGATAACCTGGGGCAAGAAAAAAGGGCTCTGTTATTGCAAGCTCGCAAGGTCCATGTCCTCAGTGCCTCCTGCTCACGAGCAGCATGACCATTAGTGTCAGAAAGCACAAATAGGGCTAACAGCAGAAACCCCAGGAAATTTCTGGGCAGAGTCTGCACATATGCAAGTCAGCAGAAGAGTTTTAGCAGGCCCGTTTAATTTTTTCCTCACTCCAGACATGTAAGGACATGGAGATTTCCTTCTCAGAAACTCACAGCTCTGCAGACTAAGGCTTTCTGATGCATCAGCTGGATTTACAAATAGGAGGAGATCAGGGAGGTGGGGGCATTTGAACGGCTGAATAGCCCTGAGTCACTTCTGCACTAGAAGTGCTGGTGAACGCAGGCAGAGCGCTTCTTCCTGGCGCCGGGTGGGAGGACAATTCCAGGAGTTCCCCGGGGAAGCTGACCACCTATACAGAACAAGCCTGTGAGAACACAGGGCACTGACTGAGAGATGAATATTTGGTTTGAGATCTCCCAAGACATGAGTACATGGATTTCCCAATGACTCAGCTTGAGTCTTGCTGCTTTAAATTCAGATGGCTTTGAAAAGGCAAAACCCAAACCACAGGCTGGAGATTTATTTTCCTTCAATAAGTCAAGTGAAAACATTGGGGAAAAAAATGCCCTTTTTGGGGTTTTGTTCAGTGACTAACTGCTACTCGGCAGGCTTAGCAAGGAGAGCCAGGCCAAGCACACCCTGCCCAGCAACACCAGCGATGATCCTGAGCAAACAGCGTGCTCTTGGTTCAGCTCAAGCCTGGCTAGAACGAATAGAGGGAGGAGAGAAGCCAGGAACAGCACCCGCACTGGAAGGATCATGCCTGACTCTCAGATCCAGGCACAAGAGTTTATAGACCTGGAAGTGGGGGCTACAAAGGACTTTTTCCTCTTTTTAATCTTTTATCTGAACACATTTGCCTTAGAATCATTGACGGGCATGAAACCCAGCCTGCCTGTCACCAACTTCTCCTTACAAGACAGGCCCACGATAAGTGTATGGTTTTCCTTGCAATACCAGATACTTGCTGTCCCTGAGAGGGAGGGAACAAAGCGAGACAAAACTTAACTAGAAATTTAAGGGCATTTTTATAATCTTTAAATGGCAGTGAGGACATTTATATGGACAACTGTTTCAAGTGGAAGCTCAGGGGCTCTTTAATCAACTAATTCAAAAAGCCTGTAAAACTCGGGAGGAAGATGCCCGGGCACAGATTACTCCACATTCGGTTCAGCCATGTAGTTACATCCTATTCCATGAGAGCCATTAAAGAATTACAGTCTATATGCTATGGCACTGCGGGACCGTTAATGAAGTTGCAGAGGGCCAGAGCCGCCCAGCACATGGCTGTGTCTTGCCAGCTCCGGCTGTCGCAGGGCAGCAGTGACAAGTTTGCAGTTTTTCCAGGTGCCACCAGAGGGCAAGTTGTGATCGCAAACAGGTCCCGGCGCCCCCCCAGCCTTGCACCAGGGAGAGCTGCCCTTGGCCGCCCTGCCCGCTCTCGGAATAAAACCTCTAAGCTGCTGCCTGGCACGACTGGGAGCTGGGGAGGAATCTGTCCTTGGGCTTACCCAGCATGCCGATCCCCAGCATGAAGGCATCCATCCCGTAAGGCATGACTCGGGACCGCCCTCGTGCCGAGCCCGTTGGGGACATCACCTCCTTTGGCTGGGCTTTTTTACACTCCACCTGCCGCAAGAAAGTAAGGATCAGGCTCGGCCGCCACGGCG